GGGCAGCGGCGGCGGCGGCCCTGTCAATGTGAGTGGGGTTGTAGTGAGAAATTTAGCGGGGGCCACGACGCCGCGCTTTGTCCCACAAAATACACATAATGCTTGCGTGATGCACCAGCCACCCACTGTGTCTTGCAGCCTGAACCAAGGTGAGTCATAGCGCCTCACCCCGAAAATTGCTGACATAACATGGACTGCTTTTATTTGCCTGCAACCGCAGCCGTACCCAGGGCAGCGCCCTTTCACTGGCAACTGGAAGGGCGGAAGCATAATAAACCGTCCAGGATCAACCAACCGCGGCCCCGCTGGCCCAGTAACCGGCGGCGCTCTATCTGTCCCAGGAGCCTTGAATGCGTTGGGCCAGGGCGCGTCCAGCGCGGCAGGCGGCGCGGCCGGCGGGCCGCACGTGCTCCGGGGCCCCGGCGGCCCCGCTGCTGCAAGGGGGGGCAGCTCCGGCGCAGGCGGCCTGGGCACGCTGCCGGGCGGCCGGCCGGGCGTCGGGTCGCACCCCTTGACGAGCGGATTCGGTGCGAAGCCGTTCGCGGCCGGCGGCGTCGGTGCCAAGCCGGCGTTCCAGGCTCCCGGTGGCATTGCCGGCAGCCCAGCGGCCCTGGCGGGCGGCAGCAGCGGCAGGCGTGGGCCAGTGATACTGGGCGGGGCGCAGAGTGGCGATGGGCCGGCTGATACTTTGGGGCCCAGTGGGTTTGGTGAGTGCTGCGGACGCTACCAGGCGTAATGTATGGCTGTGACGAATGGCCCCAAGCTTTGCCAGCACGAGCTGTGTCATACCAGTTTCTACATTCACCCATAGTGATGCGCCACACCTACAGCCAAACCCATACATATTCCCTATCTCGCACCCACAGTAGTGAATATTTCCGCCTGCGTTGTCACCCTTGTCACTATCCTTTGTTTTTACAGGTGGGCTTGCGGCCCTCGCTGTCAGCCCACGCGGCCCCAGAGCCCTCGGAGGGGCAGCTGCCGACCAGCTGCCGTGGGTGCTCCCCAACAACCGCGGCGCCGGCTCGGGCCCCGGCCGCATCGCTGGCGGCGGCCTGCTCGGCGGCGGACTGGGAGGACGCGGTGCAGGAAGTGGGGTCGGGCTGGCGGAGCCCTTCATCGGCACCAGCCAACCGGGTGGGAGCCTGGGAGGCATCGGCAGCGGCTGGCGGGTGCCTGGGGCTGCAGATGCACCCGCGCCGCTCGGCGCGCTGAGTGCGCTGGCTGGCGGGGCCGGGGGCCCGTGGGGCGGGCCTCGAGGCCTCGCCGATGCTGCAAGCAGTGGCCCGCCGCCGCAGCGGCAGCCTTCGTCAAACACCCCCGAGGCGCCCACTGGCGCCGGCGGCCTATTTGGCGGCACGGGCGGCGACGGCGGCGGCGGATGGGGCGGGCTCGGGTCGCGGCCAAGCCTCGGAGATCTGGAATCCCATCAGATCACTCCCTCCAGCAGTTTTGGGGGCGCTTTTCGGCAGCTTGGCGGCGGCAGCGGCAGCTTCTCATCGCCTTCTGCCGGGGGCGGCGGGAACGGCTTTGGCGGCGGGGCCGGAGTGTTTGGGGGCGGCCGGCCGGGGCTGGGCGGGCTGATGGGGTGGATGGGGGACCTGGGAAGGGCGGCGGCGGCGGCACCGAGCCCGCGCGGCGGCTCCGGGGGCGACAGCTGGGGCAGCGCGGGCCTCCGCGGCCTCGGCGGCAACTGGGGCGGCAACAGGGGCAGCGGCTGGGGCGCCAAGCCGGCGGCGTTCGCGGCGCCGTCCCGGCCCGGCCTCGGCGGCGGCGGTGGCGGCGGTGGCTGGGGTGGCGGGAGCGGCGGCCTTTCTGGTTTAGCCAGTCACCCACACGGCGGGGGTTCAGGCGGGCTGGGCGTGGGCCTGACAAGGCTCGCCCAGCGGGGGTTGTGAGGGCTCTGGAGTGGCGGTTCAGTGTTTGATACGTGGCTGTGCCACTGCAACGATGGGCAACCTGCACCCCCAGCCTTGGGAATGCAGGCCAGATCCCTTTGCATATCGCGGCCTGGTGCATCGGGGTGGGGGCTGAGCCCTGCGCAAGTGTAGGACCCATTGATGTGACAGTACAAAGTGTTTTGTAGGGGAAAGCGGCGCTGGATGCCCCCACCACACCCATGCTTCGGAGTTTCGTATGTCCCAAGTCTGTTGTGCATGACGAGGGTTTTGGTCTCTGCACAATCATCACTGCACACACTAACACCCGTGTGACAACCTTATTGTGTTGCCCTGACATTCTGTGGTTGGTGGGCAACCTGCATTTGGTCAGTGATACAGGTGCCCGCGAGCAAGAAGCCACGCCTGACACGCCGCAGCAGTGCGGCCCATGTTTTGCTGCTGTGAGGCAGCAACCACTCTTGTCCTTGCAGCCTTGTTTCCAGCCCTGCATGTAAGTTATTTTTTACAGAGGTCTATTCGTGTAAAGCTTGAATGCTGGAAAGATTGAGGCGTGTAGTACGGTGTCAGCTGTAGCCCAGTAAACTGCCGTCGAGCGGTTTGCCCGAGCAGCTTCGCCATTTGTCAATCGTGGTGCTTGACCACCTCGACTGATTAAGATACGACTGTCGTTGGTTACGGTGTCAGAGCATGTGCGACACGATACAACCGTCACGAACCACGCGGGGCACACTTTGCTAAGCCAAGCTGAGGCCTTGCGCGTCTGCTGACACGACGCTTCCACAAAAGCAACCACAGAGGCCGATTAAACCAAGAAAGTGCGTGCAGGCAGCGCCCGGCCCGCAACGGCTTTGTCAGCCCGTCAGCCTGCGCCCCTGAGGGGCGCCTTTAGCTGGGGGCGTCATAAATGCCGAGCGGGCGGTCGATTGATGGCGCCGCGCCGCGCATGCGCGGGTGTCGGCGCGAGCGCGCCGCGCCCGCAGCATGCGCCGGCGTCGTCGCACCGGGCGCCGCCGCAGCGTTGTCCCTGCCTCCCCAAGCCCTAAATTCCCTCCAGTAACCCCCAGTGGCCGGTCCAAGCCGGCCGGACACTCGCGCGGCATATCAAACCCAGCGTGCGCGGCGACGTGCGTACGAGCAAGCACCGCGGCCCTCAGGACACGTGCCCTGTCTGCTGCGCCGCCCGCCAGCGGCTCTCTTTAGTAAGGGACGACCGCGCCCGGCTGCGCCGCCGCAGCCAAGGGCAGCTGTTGGAGCCCCTCACATCCGCCGCAAGCCGCTCGGCCGCCGCCCGCCGCCCGCTCGTGCGCCTAGGCGCGAGCGTGCCGGCGGCGGCCACGCTGGTGCCGCATTAGCGAGTGCCCTTTACCGGCCTCAGCCGCCCCCGCCGCAGGCTGCGAGGCAGAAACAGGATGAAAACGGGGATAAGGTGAGACGGGAGCTGAACGGGAGCTCGGTGCTGAGGAGAGAGTATTGACAGCAGCCGAGGGGCCAGAGGGCTGCTGTGTGCCGGCTCAGCAGGCGAGTAGTGCGTGGCAAGGCGAGTACTGCGTGGCACGATGCCATGCAATGCGCATGCTGCAAAATCATCCATCTGCGCTGCATGCGGTGCTCGCATGCATGCGGTGCTCGCATGCATGCATGCATGCATGTGCATGCACGCAGGCAGGGCGGAAGGCGGGCCATTTCTCAACCGGTCGACTCACGTGGCGCCCCCATGCCCTTCATGTCCGCGAATCCGACGATCCGCGACCCGCCGCTCCCGCCCGGCCCGCCGCCGCCCGGCCCGCGGTCGGGGGGCCGGCGGCGCTGCCCCTGTTCCACGTAGGACTGTGCGGCGTTGGGGTCAACCAAGGTGCGGACCAGCACCATTATGGCGTTGAACAGGCCGGTGATGAAGCCGAGGATGCTCAGCCACCAGCCGGGGCTGTCCACCACCTTGCCTGCGCACGTGTGGCGGTTGCTCTGGTCAGGGGGCGGGCGCGGGCGCTATTGCAGCACGTCGCCGCGCCATGGCGCGCCGCGGGCACGGGTGGGGCAGGAGGGCCCATGCCGCTGGCGGTGGACAGGGTGTGCAAAGCGGAGCCAGTGCCAGTTGCCGCAACTGCAGCCGCCCTGCTCCCGCTAGCACACGGGACGTGCATGTGGGCCGCTTGAGCAGCCCGGCAAGGCCGCTGCAAGCAAGTCAGGGGAAGCTCTGGCACACGAAACGACGCTTGGGCTGCCTGGAACCTAGCACATGGCGCTGCGCATGGCTCAGGCTGCGCGAGCCGACCGGCCTGGAACCCAGGCTGGTAACACCCGTGCTCGTAAATATATTCCACCTTTCCACTTAAGCTCACCGTTCCGGATATACGGCATGGTCGCTGCTGCTGAAGCAGAGCTCGAGGCCCGCCTGGCCGCGTGGGGCGCCGGAGCGCCCCCTGAGAAGCAGAGGCTTTTCGAGAGGCACTATGTTACTCGTTAGGAGGCACAAACTCCCTTGCAAGCCCGCGAACGGGCCGCGGGATGTTTCGAGTGTTGCGAGAGGAAGCAGCGAGTGGTTATTAGTTTTGCAGTCTTAAACCACCGCAGCATCATGTCTGAGGAGGCGGCACGGTTGAGAAAGAGTCAAATGTGTAGCTGGTCTGCAGGTCTGGTGCCTGCGGTGTGCCACTCTTGCAACTTCCTGGGTGCTCTAGCGCGTATACACTTTTTGATTGATATCTAGACGTCATCAAATTGCATAGACGAGTGCGCGTGGGAACTCTACACGCCGGCAAGCTGATCTTGGCTGCCGGCAGCTTGCAGCGCAGGTGGGAATGGACGAGCACACGGATGAATTTATAGACGAAAGGTGCGTTGAGCATTGGCCAGCCCAGCCCAGGGGCTCCCACGGCAGGGGTCGAACGACGATCTGTACTCTGTGTCTAGCTAGCCCATTGTGGCGCCCAATGTCCGGCTTGGTGGGGGACCAGTATATGCGATTGAAAGTGGCCGGGCTGCCGCGCAGCGCTGCCCCGGCAACGGCGGGGCCCAGCACAGCGCTGGCCGCCGGCGAGCGATGGGTCAGCATCGCGTAACGATGGCGCGCCGCGCGCACGCAAACATCGGTCCCCAGCAGCGAGGGAGAGATCATCGACGGCGAGGAAGGCCCCATGACTGTTGAGGAGGACGACGGCTCCCTGGTGGAGGAGGAGGTGCGTCTTGGACTCACTGGGGTCGTGCAGGAGAGGGGGGGGGGCGCACATCACGCAGCTGATGCTCGATGTGTTGCTGCTGCAAGGCCATCGGTCGGCCTGCCCGCTCAATTCGTACAGTACCACAACAGCTGCGGCGCAGCCGCAGCGACCACACGAGCAGCAGGGCGTATCTGCATCATGTCGCGCCGAGCGCACTGTGCAGCTCTGGGATTCAAAATCTGTGCGCACAGCCATCCAGCAAAAAGGGGCAGGTGAGCTTCGCCGCCCAAGTGATGCACCCCCGCCCCTCCCGTCCTGCGCCGGCCGGACGCAGGAGTTTGACGCGGCCGCGCACGACGAGGCGCAGGAGCAGCACGCCGCAGAGGTTGCCGAGGCTCAGGCGGGCGCGCACGAGGCGGCGGGCGGAGAGGAGGAAGGTGCGACAGGTGTATTGAACTCGATGTGGCGCCTGCGGGGGGGGGGGCATTCCGTTGCAGGCGTTGGTGATAGCTTAGCTTGGATGGACGGCTGATTGACTATTCGTTGAGTGCAACGTGGAGGCGGGGTTGCAGGGCGTGGCGCGAGCGGTCCCACCTCAACGCCCGCCCGCCCCTGACT